CCAGCGCTGGCGCCGGCGACGGCGGGGACGCAGCGACTCTGACCACCACTACCTCCACCACCACCACCACTACCACCAACTCCACCGCCTCAACCCACCACCACTACCACCAACAGCACCACACAACCACCACCACCACCACCACCACAATTCACCATCACCACCACCCCCCCAAAAACCCACCACCACAACCCACCACCACCACAATCTACCACACCACCAGCACGCCACAACCACAACTACACAGCAGCACAACCCACCCCCCCACCACAAACCACCACACCACCACCACCACCACCGCCACCACCACAACCACAACAAACGTCCACAAATCAACGCCACTACCACAAACCACCACCACACAATCATCAAAAACCACCCCACCACCACCACACCACCACAACCACCACCACCACAACTCACCATCACCACCAACACCACCACCACAAAAACCCACCACCACTACCACCACCACCACAATCTACCAACAACACCACCACCACCGCCACAAAAACCACCACTACCAGCAGCACAACCCACCACCACCACAAACTAGCACCACCACCGCCGCCACCACCACCACCACCAGCATCACCTCCACAAACCACCGCCACAACCACAACCCACCACCACCACCAACAACCACCACCACACTACCACCAAACCACCACCACCACACCACCTCTACAACCCACCACCACCACCACCACAAACCACCACAACAACACCACCAAACCACCACCACCACCCACCGCCACAACCACCACCACCACAACAAAACACCACACCACCACCACCACCACAACCACCACCACCGCCACCACCACCACCACCACCACCCCACCACCACAACCCACCACCACCACCACCGTCATCCTCGTCGACGCTCCCCGCCACCGCGCCACCGCCGCCCGCCGCCGCAGGCGCCGGCGCCGGCCCAGAAATGAAAATCGTCGTCCCCGCCGCCGTCGCCACCGCCGACGCAAGCGCCGGCCCGAGGAGAGGGGAAGCAGGGGAGGGGGGGGGCGGGTTCGGTTTCAACCCCCCCCCTCCAAGCGACCACAAAACGCTCTCTTTCCAATCATCAATGGCGTATGCTTCGGAACGCACTTCCGCTAGGCACAGCATGGCTGCGCGGCGGACATCATCATTGCTATGGTCCGCTCCCACGTGATCGCTGACGGATGCGCTCTGGAGGAGCATTTCCGCAGCCCACGACGTGGGGGCTCGCGAGCGTCACACTCATCACCGGCATCATCATCCTCAGCATCGCCATCATCATAGCAACCCGCAACGTCACCGTTATTTCCGTCGCTGGCGCCGTCGTCATGCTACGTGCTCTGGAGCAGCGGCTCTGGAACACGTGAGTGCAGGTGGCTTCTCCGCTATCTTCGACTCTCTCGAAGCGCGCAGGTGCGCTCAGGGCGTTTCGGGAGCCTGTGTCGTTAATGTCAACACTGCCTCCATCGTCATTGTGCAGACTGCTTGGAGGAGTTTCCGCAGTCTGTTCTGGAGGGTACCAGACAAAGATGGAGTGAGGGGCACGCCACGGGGAGGACGTCAGCGAGGGAGCGCCCGTCATCATCATCATCATCATCATCATCATCATCATCATCATCATCATCATCATCATCACCACCACCATCATCGTCATCATCATCATCAGCATCATCATAATCAGCATCATCAACAGCATCACCGTGATCGTTATCGTCATCAGCCAAGGTGCCGTCTCCATCATCATCATCATCATCATCATCATCATCACCACCACCACCACCATCATCATCACCACCACCACCATCATCATCATCATCATCATCATCGTCGCCAGCGCCAATACATTTGTCTTTCTCTTCACCATCCTTTCTACTGGCAGCAGCAGCGGCATTAACGATGTCACAACTCCTCCTCCTCCTCCTCCTCCTCCTCCTCCTCCTCTTCCTCCTCCTCCTCCTCCTCCCTCCTCCCTCCTCCCTCCTCCCTCCTCCCTCCTCCCTCCTCCCTCCTCCTGGCTCGACGAAAACGTATCCTACGAGTCAGCGCCGGGTTAGCCGTGGCCCCCCAGATTAGCTCAAGCGTGCTACAACAGATTCTACGAGCCAGCGCCGGGGCCCCCAGATTGGCTCAAGCGCGGGAGAACGCATCCTCAGGGCCAGAGCATATTCTACGAGCTAGCGCCGGGGCAGCCGCAGCCACCCCAGATTATCTCAAACGTGGGAGAACGGATCAGGAGGAGGAGGAGGAGGAGGAGGAGGAGGAGGAGGAGGAGGAGGAGGAGGAGGGAGGAGGAGGAGGAGGAGGAGGAGGAGGAGGAGGAGCGGAGTTGGAGGAGGAGCCAGAGTAGGAGGAGAAGGAGGTGGAGGAGGTGCAGGAGCAGGAAAAGGGAGAACTTCGGAAAACATAGGAAAACCAATGATTTTGCCGATTGGGGTCTCGCAGGACGCCTCTCGGAAGCCTCCTGGCTTGTCTTGGTAATCTGCTGGGCTATCTCGAAGTGAGCTTCGCCCGTCTTGGAATGCTCTTGGGCCGTCTCGGGCTCCTGTGGGGCCGTATGAGGGCGTCGGAAGGCGTCTAAGGGCTCTACGTCTGGGGGCAGTCTTGCAGGCCTCTGGAGCCGTCTGGAAGCATCGGAAAACTCTACATATAGGCGAGAAGGCCAGTGCCCCATCAAAACCAAGGGAAAATCAATAATTATGTCCCCTTGGGGCCCTCGGAGAAGACTTCGCGGAAGGCCTTTGGCTGTCTTGGGTGCCTCTGGGGCCGTCTGGGGGCCATCTTCGGCAAGCTTGGGGTGTCCTTCGGGTTTCTCGGGCCCCTCTGTGGCCATCTTGGGGCGCTCAGGATCCGTCGTGGGGCTCTGTTGGGAGGCTCTGGAGCCAATTTTGGGGGGTCTTAGATGCCGTTTTCCCCATCTTGGAGCGTCGGACAGCGAACAGTGGAGAAGGCAAGAAAGCCAAAAACTTACAAAACCATAGGAAAATCACTGATTTGGGCGTCCTGGCGCCCCTGTGAACTGCGTCTTGGAAGCCTCTGTGGCCGTCGCGACGGCCTCTATGTCCTGTTGGCAACGGCTTGGGCTGTCTTGGAGCAAAGGTCGCGGGCCGGGGGAGCTGGAAATGCTGCCGTGCCCTCGGGGAGGCCTGCGTGGGAAGGTTCCCCGAGGCTCGGAGCTACGCGAGGCACCTCGCCGGGGGCCCCGGCGAGGGCTCCCTAAGGCCCAGAGCAACCAAGGCGGCGTGAGGCACCTCGCCGGGGGCCCCTGCCCCTGCATCCCGGCGTATCTCTCTCTCTCTCTCTCTCTTTTTCTCTCTCTCTCTCTCTATACATACATATATATATATATATATATATATATATACGCACACGTACAAAGACTGCAGTGGCGCTTCGCGCCATGCACCTTTTGTCCTTGAAGTTTGGTATGCCGGCGGAATGGTAGGAAGGTCAAGCTAGCAATTTGGCGATAACTCATTGTTGCCTTTTCCAGCATCGCCGTTATAATAATGTTATTCTTTATTCTTCCTCCATGCTTCTTTTTCCTCATTCTCGGCATACCCTGCGCATACTCCCCATCCTCCTCAGTTCTTTTTGCGGAGGCTCCTCCTTGGAAAGCCTCTGGGGCCTCACAACAATTTTTCTGGCTTTCTTGAGGCCTTCTGGAGGCCTGCTGGGCGTGCTCTGGGGGCCTCTGGGCTTCCTCGGGCCACCCTGCCTCCAACCGCGGTCTCCCTGAATGACCGGGTCACGATTTGGAATGCTTCGGAGGGTGTCTTAGGGGCCATCTTGGGCCGCCATGGGGCTCTCTTAGGGCCATTGGACCCCTGTAGTGCCGTTTTGGGGCTCGGTTAAACTGCCTGGCAGCCCTTTCGGATGGTTGTGGGGCGATTTGGGAGCCTCTCAGGCGGCTTCGGACGCCCAGAAGACCGCCGTCTTGGAGCGTCGGGAAGCAGAAAAAAGGAGAACCCCAAAATTCACCCAAAACCCACGGAATATCAACGATTTTTGCCTCTTGCGGCCTCCTTGGGAGTGCTCTTGGAGGCCTCTTGGGACGTTTTGGAGCGAGCTTTGGGGGTATGACGGCTTCTTGAGGGTCGTCGTGGACCGTATTGGGGCTCTCTGGGGTCGTTTCGGGAGCGCGCCGGAACGCCTGGAACCTTCGGGCTCTCGAGAGGTTCTCCAGGGTTGTCTGAAGGTTTGCCCGGAGGCCCGGGGAGGGCCAAATTCGTTAGGGGGAGGGCTTTTTCTGGCGTCCCCGGCCCTATAACAATACATGATTAGGAATATGTGTATATATACACACACGCACACACACACACACACCTAGTCCTCACCCTTCTGTTGGACGTCACCGACAACTGTCGAACTCACCGATCCTGGCATGGACCATCCTGGGCACAGGGTCGGGTTGGCCAGGAAGACGAAAATACCAATCTCGGGGCCCGAGAGCGGCCTGGCTGGGATCGGTGTCCGTCTACAGCTGCCGTCCGAAGAGAGGCCCGTAGGAGGCCCCCTGGGGGCTGTGTCTCAGCATGACCATGCTGTCAGGACTGGAACAGCAGCTTCGAGGGAACCCGCCCAAAAAGGCATCATGCTGCTCTCAGTGGCACTGTGAAGCTCTCTAGTCGGTGCGGTGACCGTCTAAAAAAGTCATCGTGGCTCGTAATGGCGGTCTGGGGCTGCCTGGACCGGATATGGAATTGTCGGAGAAGCCCCTTGGAAGCTTCGGGAGGGGAATGGTACTTGGGTGGGCTTCGCAGATCCAAGTTGGGGCAGGCCCCAGGGGGAGGGGGGCTCGGGGGGGCCAATGCCGCATACAAGAAAGACAGAATCTGTTCTTAAATCCTCGCCACGACCTGTTCAAGAGCAGGTTCGAGACGCAGCTCACGGCCGCTAAGGCACATCGATCCAGCATTATCCAAATACTCTCCACTTGCCTAAAGCCAGCATCTCATATCGCAAGAGGGCAGCTGTTGCTCTGCGCGCGCGAGTCCGACTGCCTCTTGCATGATGCTCTTGATGTTGAAACCCTGGGTGGGCATGATGTGGCTGATGTCCTCCCCCCCCGCTCGGCGCTGCAGCCCTTCGCCAGCACACGGCCGCCGATCGCGTGAGCACGGGGAGAGCGGCGGGGGGAAGGGGCGAGAGGGGGCAGGCCTTCTCAAAGGCGGCGGGGCGTCTGCCACCCTCCGAGACGCTCCCCGTGGTCTCGGAAGAGGCACCTTCTGACCCTCCTGGGCAGGCCCGCCCCCTCTGACCCTTCCCCCCTCGGCACGCCGCCGAGGAAGAGAGGAGGAGCTGCTGCCCCCAGCCCATCGCTGCCGCCGATCGCTGCGGCCCGCGGCCGTGGCCGCGGCGGGCAGGCCCGCCCGACCGACGAGGGTGCACGCTGCGGTCCAGTCGTCCGAACGGCACCGAGCGCAGCGCTCGGGGCGCCGACTGCGAGGGCAGAGGAGGAGCGCAAGAGCAAGAGTCTTGGAGCTCTGCTTGACGCCTCTCCGCGTTCGAAGGCAGACGCGGAATGCACGTGGCCGATTGGGGCACGGCAGGCGGCGGGAAGAGTCGAGACGCGGATTTCCCGGACCACCACTGGAGCCCGCTGGCGGCGCCTCCGGCGCCGCCCCTGGCGCGGGGAGCGCGCCAGAAGGGGGGTCCAGCGCCGAATCCTCTCTCCTCCGTTCTCCTCCTTCTCGTGCTAGAGGCGCCAGCTACGGCGTTGGCAACTTTTTAGTTGCGCTTTTTCGGCCCACGTGTCCTTCATGGACGCACGGCCTTCTTGTCTTGAAAGAGGCCCAGCCACAGTGCAGCTGGCGCGTGTCGCACTTCCCGATCGCCCAGGGCCAGCCACCGCGCGGTGCGGCAGCAAGCTGGCCTCAGGGGCCCCCATGTCAACCTCCTCCGGGGAGCTGCACGTACGCACCACCGCCGCCATGCTGGGGCCAGGGCGATCCTGAGCCCTCGTCAGTGAGAATCTGGGTGAGCCTTCACGGGAGCCTCTGTGGACCTCCGCGGCCCCATCATAAACGTAATATCGACCCGAGTTCGTCCAGATCCCGAAAATCCCTCTGCACCCTTTCGTCCACATTTCGTCCAGATTTCGTCGATAACTCGACCTAATCCGACGAAATCCAAACGAAATCCCCCAAACCACAATGAAACTTGGGAGCCTCGGAAAGGATCACACAAGAAAATGAGCCGGCCGTAGGCCATGAGATCGAAGAGTGCCTGGAGTCTCGCAGGTGATGGCCAAGTACAGATCCTGAGCCCTGGCGTGGAGTTTACGCCCAGGATGCCCCTGGCCCGGCGTGTTGGTCTACACGGCCCGCAGGGCTGTGGCGGGCGAAACGTGCGCCAGGCAGGGCCAGGATGGGAACTCAGCACGGGGCCGACCAGATTCGCACGGCGAGGGATTCTGTGGTGGAAAAAGGCTTCACCAACCGTGCAACCCACTTTGAGTGTCGATCCCAACTCTGCGAAGAATTGCGACTCCCACGCCTCAGCGTGATGCCGAAGAAACTGATGAGGGATGGGATCTCAGCATGGGGCCGACCAGATTCGCATGGCCAGGGATTCTGTGGTGGAACAGGTTTCGCACCCCGGGCGAGGTCCTTCTGGCGAAACGTGACCAGGGAGCCTTTAGGGAGGTCTCGGGCGAAGCGCCCGCAGGTCTCGAGGCGGCAAGGGGGACCCACCAGGGAGCACGGACGGGGCCAGCGAGTCTCAGGCGAAGCGTGCCCCTGGCATTAGGTCGGGCATGTCAGTCTACATTCGGATTTGGGAAGGAAAACAAACAATAGTCAAAACGCATTCAAAACTAAAAAAATAGTCGAAAGCTCGTCCCCAGACGATGTTTTGACTAGTTTTAAACATTCCTCCTGTAGAAGGGCACGCCCGACTTAACCCTGGCAGGAACAAGACGGGAACACGGCCCCGAGAAGGATTTCGATCCGCCTTCGCATCCTCAGCGAAACGCTGCTCGGGACTTGCATTCTGGCTGCAACGTCTGCCAATTGAAGTCTGGCATACTCCCGAATTGCAGAAGTCGATGTGCACCCGTAGTGACACCACTCCCACAGCCCAAGACGAGTGAACGAACAGAGTTGGCAATATTTCACACGCTGACTCGGATTCGCAGGGAGTCTCAAACAGATCTGGATGGTTCTCCACATCATCCCGAGGACACCGACAGCTCGACAGCCCAGAGGCGAATGGTTCGAGATGGGATGCGGCGTGCTCACAAAATGTCTGCATGCGGTTGATTACGGAAACCCTGGAACCAACGATGTCGGGGTCTCGCTTTACTTCCGCTGGTTTCCGCCAGCCTTCCGCCAGCCCGCCGCTGGCTTCCGCCTGCGGAGGCGGCCTCTCGTTGGTTCCGCCGCCTTCCGCGGGCCTTCCGCCACCACCTTCCGCCGAGCCAACTCCATCGAACCCATGAGAAGGCGAGGCCCCTTCTGGAGCGTTCCGTGTGGGCTACAGTGCGGACGCGGCCTGAAGAAACCCCCGCAAGAGACCCAGCCCTGAAAACCCGCGCGCGAGACGCACACGGGGGAGAACCCAGAGCACCCTGCACGCAGCAGTTTCTTCAACGGCCGTTGGAAGTCACCGCCCAACGCGCGGAGCGCTGGCGCGGGCCGCCCCCTCGCGATAGCTCGAGGGCGGAACACCTGACCTCCCTGGCCCTGCCCCCCTCCCCCCCATGCCCCTCGCCCCCCCCGTCCCACTCTCCCCTCCCCCGTGCTACAACCATCGAGCTACTAAAGGGAGCGCTGCATCAAGAACGAGCTTCGGTTTCGGCCTCGAGGAGGCTCACCGACCTGAATTGAAGGAAGGGCCCGGGAACCAGAGCCCCTCCTGAGGCCAAAGTGGCCTTATTCCAGCGCCACGACTATATTCGGGAGCTTCGCTCGGGTAGTTCTAGAGCTCCAGAAGGGCGTATTCCACCTGGACGGCGGCCACCCCCTGGAGTTACCCAAAAGCAGCCATGAAACAGCACCAGTCGGCAGCGACGGGGAGCCAGACTTGGGGCATTCTGGTGCCAGTGAAGGGCCCTGCTCTTGGGGCGTCTGTCGGCGGGCAGTATCGACTGGTCGTCGCCTCTTCTTGGGCGGGCTGTCGGGCTCGTCTGAGTCCGTGGGGTCAGGGTCTGCATCTCTGTTCTTCCTCCGCCCTTCTCCTCCCAACCTCTCCGTGTTGGCACCCCTTTTCTGCCCCCTTCGCACGCCTCACCCACGACCCTTTCCTGGCTCCCGGCCCCCTGTCCCGCCTACCTCCCCCCCCCGCCCATTCGTCCTCCTCCTTCATCCTACTCCTCCTACTCCTACCTCCTCTCCTCCTCTCCCCTCTCCTCCTCCTCTCCGCCTCTTCCTCCTCCTCGGAATACTACTTTACTGCTGAACTGCTGCTACTACTAGTGGTACTCTACTACGACGAAGACGACTACGACCGCGACTATACTACTACTACTACTACTATACTACTACTACTACTTACTAACGACTAACTACGTACTACTTACTACTCTACTACTACTATCTTACTACTTACTACTACTACTTACTACGACTACTACGACTACTTTACTCTTAATACTATTACTACTACTACTACTACTTACTACTACTACTACTACGATTATTACGAACTTCGCTACTACTACTGCTACTTACGACTAAGAGTACGATACGACACCGATTACGACTACGACTACGATACTACACTGCTGCTACTACTACTACTACTACGACTCGACTAACTAAAACTACTTCCACCAATACTACTACTACTACTACTGCTACTACTGCTACGACTACTACTACTACTACACTTACTACTACTACTACTACTACTACTACTACTACTACACCTAAGCCCTACTCATACACCTACTCCTACTCCTACTCCTACTCCTACTCCTACTCCTATTCCTACTCCTACTCCTATCCTTATTCCTTATTAGAATATACTCCTACTCCCCCCTCAGGCCGGCCATTAGGGGCCGCATCCGGGGGGTCCCATCCTAACCTGTAAAAAACAATATAAAAATAAAAAAAAACAAAAAAACAATAAAAAATCAACATGTTTCTTATTTTTTCCTCTCGACATGGACGTCCTGTCGTCCACGGCGATAATCCATTGCAAAAAATACCACAAAGAGCACACGCGCGCGTTCATGTCAGAATCCTACCGAACACAGTGTGTTTGCAAGCATTTCAACATAAAAACATCAAAAACCCAATGCTTTTTCACAAAAATTGTACAAATTTCCCGCCTGGGCTCTCTTGCTGAAATCATAGGAAAACCATAGGAATCTTAAGAATTCTGTCAAATCCAGCGATTTCACGTCATCGCGCGGTGCACTCGCGATGCTCTGTCATTCACCCAGGCCGCGAATCCTGTGCAAAAAATACCACAAAGAGCACACTCGCGCGTTCATGTCAGAATCCTACCGAACACCGTGTGTTTGCAAGCATTTCAACATAAAAACATCAAAAACCCAATGCTTTTTCACAAAAATGCTTTGGGGTGTACTGTCAGACCGTCGGGCTTCCTCCGGCCACCTCTGGCTTCCTGCGGTGTACCGGGCCATTCTCGACTCGTCTGGCAATGCGTGCGCAGCATTCAACACGCGCTCGCCAGTTCCCGTCGGCAACCGCATCGCGGCCGCATCAGCTGTACCAAACCGGCTGGCCGGTGTGACTTCGGCCCCCAGTTGTGCCAGCTTTGCTTCTTATGTTGTGGGAGGGCGGGTGGGACTGGGCATGCCATGCTTGACTCGATCGAGCTGGCTAGCTTGACTCCTACTCCTACTCCTACTCCTATCCTTATTCCTTATTAGAATATACTCCTACTCCCTCCCCAGGCCGGCAGATAGGGGCCACATCCGGGTGGTCCCATCCTAACCTGTAAAAAACAATACAAAATCAACATTTTTCGTATTTTTTCCTCTCGACATGGACGTCCTGTCGTCCACGGCGATAATCCATTGCAAAAAATACAACAAAGAGCACACGCGCGCGTTCATGTCAGAATCCTACCGAACACCGTGTGTTTGCAAGCATTTCAACATAAAAACATCAAAAACCCAATGCTTTTTTCACAAAAATTGTACAAATTTCCCGCCCGGGCTCTCTTGCTGAAATCATAGGAAAACCATAGGAATCTTTAAGAATTCGGTCAAATCCAGCGATTTCACGTCATCGCGCGGTGCACTCGCGATGCTCTGTCATGCACCCAGGCCGCGAATCCTGTGCAAAAAATACCACAAAGAGCACACTCGAGCGTTCATGTCAGAATCCTACCGAACACCGTGTGTTTGCAAGCATTTCAACATAAAAACATCAAAAGCCCAATGCTTTTTCACAAAACTGCTTTGGGGTGTCCTGTCAGACCGTCGGGCTTCCTCCGGCCACCTCTGGCTTCCTGCGGTGTACCGGGCCATTCTCGACTCGTCTGGCAATGCGTGCGCGGCATTCAACACGCGATCGCCAGTTCCCGTCGGCAACCGCCATCGCGGCCGCATCAGCTGTACCAAACCGGCTGGCCGGTGTGACTTCGGCCCCCAGTTGTGCCAGCTTTGCTTCTTATGTTGTGGGAGGGCGGGTGGACTGGGCATGCCATGCTTGACTCGCTCGAGCTGGCTAGCTTGACTCCTACTCCTACTCCTACTCCTACTCCTACTCCTACTCCTATTCCTACTCCT